CTTCATCTCATAATAATACTCATGTGATCAGAACCCCATTAGCCACCCCATTAAGTTTTTCATTTAGATTAACGTTTTAAGTTAGTTAATACAAGCCAGTAACAAGAATAAATTAGCATAAGTATAAGCATCGTCGAAGGACTAAAATAAAGGATATACAACCATGACATGTGTAATATCATATCAAGACATGATCATATGTTAATAAGTATATTCATGAATACAAGAGCATAAAATACCAATGCCAACAGAATTTCCAGATTTAGTACCACTTAGAGATTAAGATCAAAAGGGTTATTTCAATTTTTTCCCGAACTCAGCCTTCCTATGGTTCGTTGAGAATTTAATCTAGTTTTCAGAACATGTTTTAGAAATGGAATAGATTTTTCTAGATTTTTAGTTATTTAAGAAAAGCTCCAGTCTTATCCAGATTCATCAACCGTTACGAAAATCAAAGTTTCTCACAAACCGCTCACTCTTTTTTGATGAAACCAGTTTTTCTTGAAAGCTAACTCTTTAAGGAAGATTTTGACATAAAACCAAAGTCCATGAGATTTTTCTACATTTTTCTAGAATTTTCGAAAGTTGGTGGTAAAACAGGGTTTTTATGCACCATACTTAAAATAAGAAGGTTGGTGAGAAAAGAGGCCAACCAAATAAAAATTATCACTTCTTTTGTGATGAAAATATGCTAAATAATATATAATAAACTCAAAAATTTCAATTGAATGTGTGCCTTTGGAAATTTTGAGAAAACGGTGCAAAAGAAGATAGTTTGTTACCGATTAAGGGAAAACACAAGAAGGGTGGAACAAAACTCAACTCTTTTCTTTTTTCTTTTCTTTTTTTAACACAAGAATACCATTTAAAACACATCTAAAATTAATGTTTAGAACCTCTAAGAGCATGTATTTGAAAGAAAAAAATGAAAGAAAGAGTTGTGTTGTGGCTTACTTGAGGCTTGATTGAATTGCTAGCAACTTTCTCTTCTTCTCCTATCCTCCACCAAGCTCACTCTCTTCCCTCTCTTTTCTTCCAGTCGTGTGGTGTGATGTGTGTGTTGTTCTTGTGTGCAAAATGCTAAGGTTGAGGTTTCTTTTATAGGAAAATTGGTGCAAAAGGTTCACTTTGCCCATTGGTTGGAATTGGATTGGATATTTTGGATTTCGTTTGAATTCAATGGAATAGTGGATGGTTAGAGGACTTAATTGAGTACCTAAGCATAATCTAGTTGGGGTTTTATCTTAATCAAACCAACCTAGTTACAAGTACAATGCATATATACATATATATATATATATATATATGTTCGTAACCAAAGTCAAAGATTTTCCTCAAATTATGCAAGTTTGTCTCAAAAGTACACTCATTGTATCTATGTAGGTATGGTATGCCATATGATGGTGATTTGAGGGACTTAGTTTATTATTTTTTGTGTACAAATGTTGGAAATTGTAAAATATGGTGTATAAAAATAGATTTTAGGGTACAAGTGTATATACATATAATGGTACTTGTTTAGGGTCAATTTGTGATTTAATAAAAATATGAGGGCCTTGGATTTAATTTATGAATTGAAAATTTATTTTAGTGCATTATTTAATTTAATTAGGATCTGGAACTTCAATTCAGTTAAAGTTACTTTATTTGGAATTAAACGGCGAGTTGTAATGAGAACCGAAAGCCTAGGGTTTTTGATCGGCAAATATAGTTAGGGAATTAAATTAAATATTATTCAGGCTTTGGAAATGATCCCTGAGTTCCCAGGTTCAATCAAGGTTTGCGAGTTTTCGGTTGGTGCGCGTTTTTGGCTCTATTGAAAATAAATAAGGGAATGAGGGTCTATATTGAAATAGTTCAAAAGTAAAGGTCTAAATAAAATTACAAAGGTCAGGGTCCTCATAGTTAAATAATTTATATTAGCATGTAAAAAAGATTACTAAGCGGTCGATTTGGTTTTGTACGGGTTTATTCGCAATGCTTCTTTGATTCTAGGGTTAAATTTGTGAATAAACGAAGAATCAAGGACTTTATTATAATAACTCAAAATTTAGGAACTTAATAGGGTTTACAAAAGTTAGGGGTCTCACATCTCCAGTTAGGGAGAATTCTGAAAGAGATTAAGAGTTTTAGAGTTTGTAATTTGTTTGAGATTATTAAAATAAAATGAGTGTTTATTCAAATTATTTTCCTCTCTTTGTATACCATCACAACCAGTATACACTCATTTTCCACATTCAACAAAATTTACAACTTTTAGTTGGAGATTTGTTTGAATGTGTTTAAGAGAACACACCAACAAATACAAACACACCCACACCGTTAGTGCTATCCCTTATGTGAAAACAACATGGTATTACCCAAAACCACGCCTTTCTACTAAATACATTTCATTCTCTGCAACCTGGCAACTTCTACCCCTTTGGATTGCTTCTTAGCGACATGTCACGATCTCCTTGAAACTGCTAGACAGTGCTGAACAGAAGACTGCAGGAGAAGATGTGGATCCTAAGATGAAACCAAACTACAATAAGTTATAACTCAAAATCAAATTATGTCAACAATAATGCCATATGCACAGGTCTTTTTAGGGAGCTGAGTGGGGCAACAGTGGCAAGGCCCAGTATAAATCTGGAAGTTTTAATTGAGGGAGTGCAGAAGGGAGCTGAGCCCAGTGGACCACTTCAGGATTTGAGGTCGGAGCTAAGTGAAAATTTGGCCCATATTTCAGGTAGGCCAGCTGAAGCCCAAATAAATCAAATAATTAGGGTCCAACGGACTGCAGCTGGGAGCATTGCAAGGGAAGGAGCAATACAGAGAAGGGGAAAGACATGGAAAAAAGGCATAGATCGTAGGAAAGGGGTGTTTGGCAGACTGGGATTTCAAAGGAGAGCTATCTTCAGAGCTTCTACCGAAACAATAGCCTCCCAAAAGACTTCTTCTTCTCAAGGCCAAGCAGCGAACAGAAGGAGGTAGTTGCTTGAGAAGGCTTTGGCAACTGTGAGAGTAGGCACCGAGCTAGGAATGGACTACCAAGGCAATGAGGAAGAGTTAGTGAGTAGAATTGTGGAGCTGGAAGAGAAGGATTTGAGCAGAATTAGAGGAGAAGAAATGGTAACAAGAGCTTAGGTGGCGCTCCGGAGGGGATTGGGTGTTAATAGTGTGTTTAAATGACGATTGTATCCTGGAACGTTAGAGGGATGGGAAGGCCAGAAAAGAGGGGAAAAATAAAGAGATTGGTGAGGGAGAGAGAAGTAGATGTGCTCTTTCTTCAAGAGACAAAAAGAAGTAATATGGAGGATCTTTTTGAAAAGTCAATTTGGCCTTATGAAGAAGTGGAATTTATGGTGGTCGATTCAGTAGGTAGTGTTAGAGGTCTTTTGTGTATATGGAGGCCGCAAATCTTCGAGCTCAAGAGCTGCTGAAGTGGTAAAAATTTCATCATTTTATCAGGTATCTCTCGTACTTCTTTTCAGTGTACTCTTGTGAATATCTATGCTCCTAATGAGGTTCTTGGAAGGAGGCAGTTATAGGAATCTCTAGTGAGCATCCATCAACATTTCCCAACCCGTGGTGTGTGGGAGGAGATTTCAATGAGATTAGATACATGGATGAGAGGAAGGGATGCTTATCTAGAGATAGGGGGATGAAGGATTTCAATGAATTTGTGGAAAAATTGGAATTAACTGATATGCCTCTGCTAGGCAGGCAGTATACTTGGTGCAATGCTTTGGATGGGAACAGGTGGATTAGGATTGATAGATTTTTGTTAGATGTGAAGTGGATGAAAAAAATTTCATTTAAGCAATGGGGTCTCTCCCAAGGTCAATCTCAGATCAGTGCCCCTTTCTAATAAAGGAAGATGACAGGGATTGGGACCAAAGCCTTTTTAATTTATCAATGTCTGGTTATCTCATCCATCATTTATGTCTGAAGTGAAGAAGAGGTGGGAGGAAGCTCAACTTCAAGGATGGGCAGGGTTTAGAGTCATGAGAAAACTGAGCTTACTTAGGAACCACTTAAGGGTGTGGAACAAGGCAGTGTTTGGAAATATAGATACTCAGTTAAAGAAGGCAGACGAGGAGCTTCATGAATGGGATTTGAAGGAAAAGTCTAGATCCCTTCAGGAATTAGAACTGAAGAGAAGAAGAGAAGTTAGGAGCCAGGTGTGGCAGCTAAGTAGAAGCAAGGAAAGGCTATGACATCAAAAGTCTAGGCAAATGTGGGCTCAGTCTGGTGATAAAAAATACTAGGTTCTTTCACATTATGGCTAGTAGAAGGCAGAGAAAGAATCTGCTTGACTCTGTTGTAGTGGAGGGTAGGTGTGTGGAGGATCCGGATCAGGTGAAGCAAGAAGTGGTTAGGCATTTCAGTCAGCTGTTCTCAGAGAATTGGAAAATTAGGCGAAAAATTCGGGGCCCTTTTGCTGCTATTAACTCTGTGGATGCTATTACTCTGGAAACTGTTTTCTCTGAAGAGGAAGTTTGGGAAGCAGTGCAGGACTGTGATGGGAACAAAGCCCCAGGCCCAGATGGCTTCAACCTTAATTGTATCCAGAGGTGTTGGCCTATATTGAAAGGGGAGATCTTAAGTATGGTGAATGAATTTCACCAAAATGGCAAGCTATCTAAAGGGGTTAACAGCTCTTTCATAGTTCTTATTCCTAAGAAGGAAAATCCCATAGGCTTGGGGGATTATAGACCTATCAGCTTGGTGAACTCTGTCTATAAAATTTTAGCAAAACTACTTTCAAGGAGGCTTAGAAGAGTGTTACCATCTGTGATCAATGAGGTTCAGTCTGCTTTTGTGAGTAGTAGGCAAATTTTAGATGGTGTGCTAATAGCAAATTAAGTTGTAGGTGCATGGAAAAGATCAAAAAAGAGAGGCATAATTCTAAAATTGGATTTTGAAAAAGCTTATGACTCACTTAATTGGGAATTTCTGTGGTCGATGATGAATAATTTGGGTTTTGGTGAGAAGTGGTTAGTTTGGATGAGGAATTACATTTCTACAGCCAGGGTTTCTGTGTTGGTTAATGGCTCACCTACAGAGGAATTCCAGCCACAGAAGGGGCTAAGACAGGGTGACCCCTTTTTACCTTTTTTGTTCATAATTGCAGCGGAAGCTCTCAACCTTTTATTAGCAAGGGCAGTAGAGAAGGGTTTGTTCAGAGGAACCTCAGTTGGGTAATGATTTGCGCATCTCTTATCTCCAGTTTGCATATGACACTATAGTGTTTTGTGAAGGAGATTAGGAGGAGGTGCTCAACATTAAAAGGGTGTTGAGGTGTTTTGAAGTGATGTCAGGATTAAAAATAAATTACCATAAGAGTGTTGTATGCGGAGTGGGCTTCCAAGAAGATGAAATTGTGGGTTTAGCCCAAAAATTGAATTGTCTATCGAAGAAATTACCTTTTAACTTTTTAGGACTGCCTCTAGGGGCCAATCCTAAGAGGAAGAGCACTTGGAACCCCATACTGGATAAGGTGAGTAAGAGG